ATTCAACGTGCTAGCATGGCTATCGTACTGTTCGATTTAATCCATATTTGTGGCCTTCTGGTCAACAGGTATCAATCTGCATGTAACATCTTTCCTGCAGTTGACGGAGAAGGAGGGAGAAGCTAGATACAACTGACGAAGAAGAGGGAGAATGAACTCTGTTTGACGAAGAAGTGGGAGAGAAGAATTTTTTTTTTTTTCTGATTTTGATATGCCCAGTACAGAAACGACGTTGTTTCTGTCCAGTTTTTTTTTTAAAAAAAAAAATCCAAAAAAGGCTAAAAAACAGTAGCGTTTTATTAAACCGCATATGATGTGGTTGGTGTTTACCGCAGAGGAGCCGCACCCAGCTGTTGGACATACGGTATTTGGGAATCTATGTTTGGTTTGGTTTGGTTTCACAGAACCATTTGAAAGACAATATAAGAGAGCCCCATAATATATAAGATGGTTGAGGAAACAACTAATCACACTTTGCACTCTGAAATATTCTTTGATTCTCAAATTGTACTCTCAAAAATTAAAAATTTCAATTTACAAACTCAGTATCATAAAAAGGCACGCAACTTGCAAGTGCCATTGCAAATCTCAATGACGTCATAGTTAAACCCAAGTCAATACCACTTTCAGATGCAAACCATCGTGTGTTTCGTTTTCAGACAAAAAACTAAATGGTAACTTGATTTGCCCTTAAGGAAATGTTGAGCGGAAGAAGTTGTTGATAGCTATAGCTACGAGCAGATTGTCGTTTTTGGTAAAAACATACATCCACGTCCATAGGAAATGTTGTTTCACTACATCAGAATCTCAATGCGGCTACAATTTGTCTACAGGCTGCAGTTAATAACCTTAATCTTGGTCCAATTCGTAAACGTAGTCCCATTGGGCAAGGCTCCACTTCAATACGTTCCGCTTATGTGCCACCAATTTGTCACGCTGTGCTCTGCTTCTCCAACTGACCCACTATCTTTTGGGTCTAGGTTAATACGAATCACCCACAATTTTTAACAATTAACATGCTAATGAAGTGAATTTAATCATTAATTGTTGAGTATGGAATAAAGTGGAATTAGTCACTAATGAATTGATATAGAAATAGGTGTGTTTAATAATTTTACATTAAGTAATTTAATGAGGGTGCAAATAAATATTTGTGGGGTGGAACTCTCTTAGAAATAAGAACCCTATAAAGTGTCATGCTTTCAAATGGGCGCATAAATTTCACGTAAATATAAAAATTTTAAGCCCTCTGGTTTAGATGCCCTATCATTAAGAGTGGGTACATCACTTGGAGAAGTTCTATACTAATGAGACAACATTTGGTATGAGACAAATCTAACTAAAAACCTTTAGTAAGCATAAGGTATGGATTCAAAGGTTTCATTATGAAAAATATGTATATAATAAAGTATAATACAATTCAAATCTAAAAAAATAAACAAAATGACTTTTACCTTTCGTAGTAGTTAGTATATCTCTAAATTTTATTTTATAGCTAATCCGACAATTAATATTAACTTCCCAAATTAATATGTATGTCAATAAGAGTGTGTTTGAGTTGATTTTTTAAATGTGATTCTTAAACTTATAATTTCTCTTAAGTATTTTAAAAAAAATATTGTGTTTGAAACTGTCCTACTACTATCACTACAATCACCACCCCCACCGCCCCACCATTACCACTACCATGACCATCGCCGCCACGCCACCACCCCCATTGCCGCTGCCACCACCCTACCACCAACATTCCCATCGCCCCACCACCACCACTACCACTACCACTACCACCACCGTCGCCACCCTACAACCACCTCTACCACAACATCCACCACCATCCTTACCACCATCACCACTTCCAGCATCACGACCATCGCCGTCACCCTATTACCACCTCTGCCACCACCACCACCACCACCACCACCGTTGCTAGTACCACTGCTACCACCCCACCACCACCACACCCACTATTGTCACCCTACCACCACCACCACCACTACTACCACTATCACTACTACTACCACCATCACTATCACTATCTTTACCGTTTCCACCCCACTACCACCTCTGTCATAACAACTACCACCACCGACACCACCACTGTCGTCACCCCACCACCACTATCACCACCCCCCACCACTGTCATCATCGTCATTGTCTCACCATCACCCCTACCACTACTATCCCCGTCGGTTCACCACCATCCCCACAACCACCAGCACTACCACTACCACCACCACCCCACCAACACTACCACTGCCGCCATCCACCACCACCACAACCACCATCATCGCCACCCTCCACCGATTACTACCATCGTCGCCCACTGCTACCACCCACCACAATCGGCATCTTATTCTAATATTTATTACCACTAACACCATCATCCCATTACCACAGTTGCCTATCGTCAACACCCACTACCATAACCCACCACCATCCGTCGTCGCTCATCATCGCTACCAGACACTGTCCCACCCCCACCACAGCTACCACCACCACCTATCATCACCCTCCATTGCAGCCAGCCACTGTCACCCCACCCTCACCACACCTATCACCACTAACACTATCGTCATTACCACTCATCATATTGTTACCTAGAAGCACACGTCGTCGCCCACTACCACTATTGTCACTATCCACCACCTCTGCCACCACCATCATCGCCCCACCACCACCATTGTCAGCCATTTTCACCGTCGATCACAACCAACATTGCCAACCACTATCACCATCGCCCACCACCATTCACACCCACCACCACAATTGTCGTCACCCATGACTGCCACTACCACCNCACAACCAACATTGCCAACCACTATCACCATCGCCCACCACCATTCACACCCACCACCACAATTGTCGTCACCCATGACTGCCACTACCACCATCATCACTCAAAATTCACCACTACAATCATAGTTTGTGACCCATGGTTGCCACCACCACTGTGGTCATCACCACCCACCACAATCATCACCATTTTGCCTGCTAAAAGTCCCAAAATGAGGGAAAGTTTTAAGGAATAACCCTTGCGCACCAAAGCTGCAAAAATCCTTTCCCCTTTCTCTAATAATAAGGTAAGGCTATGAAGTATCTTAGAGTATGAAATTTTGTTTTTTAGCTGGGTCGAGGACTCTTGCTATTGTTTGGCCTGGAACAACTGTATTTAGTATTAGTAAAGAAAAAGGGGCTTTTTCGAAAGNCTTGCTATTGTTTGGCCTGGAACAACTGTATTTAGTATTAGTAAAGAAAAAGGGGCTTTTTCGAAAGAATATCAACCACCACCATTGTCGTTCACTAGCACTACCACTGCTTACCTCCACTATATTCGATGCTTAAATTTATTTATTTTTTTTCTATTTTTATGATTTGATTTTAAGTGTGAATATAAATATATTTATTGTGGACTATTTTTTTTAGTATTTTGTGCCTTTAGGCACAAGATATAACTAGTGCACCTATATGACAAAAGAGAAAAAAATATTAAGAAAGTTAAAGAGGGCCACGGAGGTGGGTACAACTAAAAGAGTAATACTATAGAGACCTAATTTAAGGACCTAATCATGTACTTAATTCAATGCACTTGTTGAATTAGTTATGAGTTCTAACGATGAAACCAACTTGTAATTCAATGGCTATACCAATAGCATTTTTCAAATTGAACAGATGAAATGAATGGACAAGATTGCAAAGGACAACTTCAAGGCATATATATGTGTGTGTGTGTGAGAGAGAGAGAGAGAGGTCTTGTCATAAGGAACACATGGACAGGTATTGACTGGCCCCTAGTTCTCATATTCATGCATGGTTTGATGTATATGGAGGGGAAGGGACAAGGACTGTACAGAAAAGAAAGACAACCCTATATAATTGTGGCAAAAATGCATGGCAAGCCAAGTATACTATAGTTGAGGCCCTTTCCACAATCTGAATTTACACAAATGAAATAAGCCAAGTAATTAAACTTATTGGGAATGACCGAAACAAAAATAAACGTGTAAGGTGGTCTTTTTCGCTTGCAAGTGGTTCAAATTTAACACTGATGATTGCTTTAAAGAAACCCCAACTCAGTAAGAGTTTGAGGAATTATAAAAAATAATCACGGTCATTTAAAAGTGGGTATTATGGTAGAATCCATCAAACTACAGTACCAAAGCGAAATTATAATCAACTACAAAAGGTTTATTAACTTGGAGTTTGGTAAAAAGAAAGAAATGTCAAGAAATTCGTGGTGGTAACAGTTGCCCTCCAAGCTCACAGCCTACTCACCAACTCTAAAGTGATATAGTCCACCCGAACAAAGCACTATGATCAAAAATTGAAAGCTAGCTTAACTCTTGTAGGAGGACTAGGCTATGGAATCTGCAGTAAAATGAAAAACAAATTTTATTTTTTTTCCAAGTGTAGATCTTACTTTAATATAATTCTGTCTATAATTGTGACAATAAGTAAAGTGAAAATATAAAATAATTTATCTTTACACAGTATTCACGTTTCCACTAAAAGAAAAAAATTAAGTATGATATCAAGAAATAATTTTTTAATACCGTAGTCTAACCTTTGTATGAGATCAACTTGTTGTAAGAAAGGTTTATTCTGACTTCCACAATACCCAAATAACAAAAAAACGAAAAAACCAACACGAACTTAAAGGACACATAGGAGCAATTGAATCACAACGGTAGTTCAAATAGTAATAGAGACGAAATGTAAATTTGGACGTCTTAAGTTTGAATTTTAATAATTCGTTAAGGACAGACCATGAGGGATTATTCCTCATGAATTTCTTAGTCCTGACGTTGATGTCTACCTTTAACCAAATTTAAGAAAGAATTAATTAAGGTGCGCATAAACTCACCGTTAAATTAAAAAAAAAAACACAGGAGCAATTCCGCAATAGATTTATATATGTTTAAAAAGACAGTTTGATTTATATACTTCCCATGTTTTTACATATGCATGGTATGAACAAACTGTCATTGCCACATTAAGCCACGTTAAGCTACATGGTTCTTCGTCTCACCAAAGCTCCCTGCAGAATCTGAAGAAATAGACCCACCTGGGTGGATCTTATTGCTCTTACCACCTTTACCATCCTCAACTTTTCTCTCTCCACCACCATCCTCCACTTCTCTTCCTTTCTCCTCCTCCATTCTCTTCATTTTTTCCTTCTGCCGGTTCTGCTGCACGTAAACATGAGCAAAACTAGCTCCGGTGGACGACATTCTCGGAAAGTCTGATGTGAAAGTAATCGTTGGTCAGATACCGATCGAGGAGTATGGTGGCAACGCAGAACCTCTGGAGGTAAATTTATAGGGAAGCATAGTTGCCTTTTTGAGCAAGCCATCACTGGGGTGTGTGTGTAATGGCTGACGTTTTTTGGTATATCTTTTTCATAGATGGTGGTTTTAAAGACATATTAGAAGGAAAGGGTATAAAAAATATATATATATGGTTGTCAATGGCCGGGGGTCGTGTGTTGTGTTTGTAAACCATGTAAATTAGCATATGTCAAAATTTGTACAACTCATACTCAATCTATTTATAATTATTAAACAAACGGATTGTTGGGTTTGAATTATGTATAAGTCGTGTTCAATCAAATTTGTGCTAGTTGTTGGCCCCTTTATATGTTGGTAGGTTCAGCTCAATAGAATTTGGGGCTGTTAGCAAAAATTTTAAGCGGGAACTTTTACAAACTTGTTATAACTATATATGTTATTTTATGGCTATACCATTTTTTCAACGAAGAAAAAGGGTTTTGCTACTTTATGGCTATGTTATTTTTAAATAAGTTATGAACTTAAAATCTTATAAATGAGAGCGATTGAAAAAGTGTGTGAGAGAGATGTATGCAGGATTTATTTATATAAATATATTTGTATATGCCCTAATTACGGAGAGTGATTAGATTGACAACAAATAAAGAGAGAATATGTGATCTTTTAGGCGAGCGATATCAGATGTGACCGTTGGGTTAGTGGGAGAGTGTAATATTTATTAAAAAAGAAAAGAAAGAATCAAATTTTGTATCTTTTGAGCCTTTATTACATAATATTCTTGAGCCAGATTAAATAATATTATAAAGATCAAAAATATTATTTGGGTCCCTATGCAAGCATTTTAGTTGCTTATAGTGTCAGCCGGCCCTGTACGTCGAGTATCCACTGTTTTATCACCCATCCAGTTAAGACTAAATGTAAACATACAAATTCTATGTTAATTTTAGGTAAAATTCAAGAATATAAAAATCTTGTGTTATCTTTTTTGGTGGTTAGGCCGGTAATTGAGTTAAGCTCTATGAGTTCGAATCGAACCTGCCGAGCTCTTTTTTTAAGCCTAAAAATTGGTTCAAGCTCGATTCATTTAGAAAACGAGCTGAGTCTGAATAGTTCGACTATTTTACATATAAATTAATCGAGCGTTGTGAATTTGAGCTAAATTTTTTATGCTCATTTTTTAAACGAGTTTAAATTTTTTTTCAAGTTTAGCTCTCTTATCTAAGTCAAACTCGAGTAATTTGACTTTATTATCGGCCCACTCTTGTGGACTATACNAACGAGTTTAATTTTTTTTTCAAGTTTAGCTCTCTTATTTAAGTCAAACTCGAGTAATTTGACTTTATTATCGGCCCACTCTTGTGGACTATACATCACTACCAAAAAAGAATATGCCACATAAGATTTGATTGTGGGAATGCATAGTGCATACATAGGTGGACATTAATGGGGTTACCCCTCAACCTTGAAGAGGGTTTAAAGCAGATTGGTTAAACATATCCATACAAGAGTGCTGGCTAACTGGACACGAGTGGACCAACAGTCAGCTGAAGCTTTTTTTTCATAATTTTTTTTTCTTTTGGAAGTCATAATTAAGAGTCAAACCCTTGTTATCAAGTTCAACTTTTCGAGTTTTGATATGTACAGCTTAGCTTGAATTGACAATCCAAGCTAAATAGTAATAAACATCAAGGGTGATTCTATTAAATGGAGCAGAAAATTGTTGCGGCTTGACTTGAATACTAAACTAACTTAAAAAAAATTACATTTGGCAAAATGAGCCTAAACGAGGTAAAACCGATATTAGTTGGTGACAACATTGATGCCGTTTTTTTGGTCATGTGAATTTTTATTTAGCAATAAGCATCTCGTGATTTTCATATTCTCTTTGTTTAGGAGAATAAGTATCAAAGCATCTATTCTTATATACTTCAAAAGCCATACATATATATTCGTGGTAATCTATTTTTTCTTTCCTAAATGATGCTCACATGGTTGTCTTCTTTGTTTTCTTCTTTTTTTTTTTTNGAAATGTCAAGAAATTCGTGGTGGTAACAGTTGCCCTCCAAGCTCACAGCCTACTCACCAACTCTAAAGTGATATAGTCCACCCGAACAAAGCACTATGATCAAAAATTCAAAGCTAGCTTAACTCTTGTAGGAGGACTAGGCTATGGAATCTGCAGTAAAATGAAAAATAAATTTTATTTTTTTTCCAAGTGTAGATCTTACTTTAATATAATTCTGTCTATAATTGTGAAAATAATTAAAGTGAAAATATAAAATAATTTATCTTCACACAGTATTCACGTTTCCACTAAAAGAAAAAAAATTAAGTATGATATCAAAAAATAATTTTTTAATACCGTAGTCTAACCTTTGTATGAGATCAACTTGTTGTAAGAAAGGTTTATTCTGAATTCCACAATACCCAAATAACAAAAAAACGAAAATACCAACACGAACTTAAAGGACACATAGGAGCAATTGAATCACAACGGTAGTTCAAATAGTAATAGGGACGAAATGTAAATTTGGACGTTTTAAGTTTGAATTTTAATAATTCGTTAAGGACAGACCATGAGGGATTATTCCTCATGAATTTCTTAGTCCTGACGTTGATGTCTACCTTTAACCAAATTTAAGAAAGAATTAATTAAGGTGCGCATAAGCTCACCGTTAAATTAAAAAAAAAAACACAGGAGCAATTCCGCAATAGATTTATATACGTTTAAAAAGACAGTTTGATTTATATACTTCCCATGTTTTTACATATGCATGGTATGAACAAACTGTCATTGCCACATTAAGCCACGTTAAGCTACATGGTTCTTCGTCTCACCAAAGCTCCCTGCAGAATCTGAAGAAATAGACCCACCTGGGTGGATCTTATTGCTCTTACCACCTTTACCATCCTCAACTTTTCTCTCTCCACCACCATCCTCCACTTCTCTTCCTTTCTCCTCCTCCATTCTCTTCATTTTTTCCTTCTGCCGGTTCTGCTGCACGTAAACATGAGCAAAACTAGCTCCGGTGGACGACATTCTCGGAAAGTCTGATGTGAAAGCAATCGTTGGTCAGATACCGATCGAGGAGTATGGTGGCAACGCAGAACCTCTGGAGGTAAATTTATAGGGAAGCATAGTTGCCTTTTTGAGCAAGCCATCACTGGGGTGTGTGTGTAATGGCTGACGTTTTTTGGTATATCTTTTTCATAGATGGTGGTTTTAAAGACATATTAGAAGGAAAGGGTATAAAAAATATATATATATGGTTGTCAATGGCCGGGGGTCGTGTTGTGTTTGTAAACCATGTAAATTAGCATATGTCAAAATTTGTACAACTCATACGCAATTTATTTATAATATTAAACAAACGGATTGTTGGGTTTGAATTATGTATAAGTCGTGTTCAATCAAATTTGTGCTAGTTGTTGGCCCCTTTATATGTTGGTAGGTTCAGCTCAATAGAATTTGGGGCTGTTAGCAAAAATTTTAAGCGGGAACTTTTACAAACTTGTTATAACTATATATGTTATTTTATGGCTATACCATTTTTTCAACAAAGAAAAAGGGTTTTGCTACTTTATGGCTATGTTATTTTTAAATAAGTTATGAACTTAAAATCTTATAAATGAGAGGGATTGAAAAAGTGTGTGAGAGAGATGTATGCAGGATTTATTTATATAAATATATTTGTATATGCCCTAATTACGAAGAGTGATTAGATTGACAACAAATAAAGAGAGAATATGTGATCTTTTAGACGAGCGATGTCAGATGTGACCGTTGGGTTAGTGGGAGAGTGTAATATTTATTAAAAAAGAAAAGAAAGAATCAAATTTTGTATCTTTTGAGCCTTTATTACATAATATTCTTGAGCCAGATTAAATAATATTATAAAGATCAAAAATATTATTTGGGTCCCTATGCAAGCATTTTAGTTGCTTATAGTGTCAGCCGGCCCTGTACGTCGAGTATCCACTGTTTTATCACCCATCCAGTTAAGACTAAATGTAAACATACAAATTCTATGTTAATTTTAGGTAAAATTCAAGAATATAAAAATCTTGTGTTATCTTTTTTGGTGGTTAGGGCCGGTAATTGAGTTAAGCTCTATGAGTTCGAATCGAACCTGCCGAGCTTTTTTTTTAAGCCTAAAAATTGGTTCAAGCTCGATTCATTTAGAAAACGAGCTGAGTCTGAATAGTTCGACTATTTTACATATAAATGAACTGAGCGTTGTGAATTTGAGCTAAATTTTTATGCTCGTTTTTTAAACGAGTTTAATTTTTTTTTCAAGTTTAGCTCTCTTATTTAAGTCAAACTCGAGTAATTTGACTTTATTATCGGCCCACTCTTGTGGACTATACATCACTACCAAAAAAGAATATGCCACATAAGATTTGATTGTGGGAATGCATAGTGCATACATAGGTGGACATTAATGGGGTTACCCCTCAACCTTGAAGAGGGTTTAAAGCAGATTGGTTAAACATATCCATACAAGAGTGCTGGCTAACTGGACACGAGTGGACCAACAGTCAGCTGAAGCTTTTTTTTCATAATTTTTTTTTCTTTTGGAAGTCATAATTAAGAGTCAAACCCTTGTTATCAAGTTCAACTTTTCGAGTTTTGATATGTACAGCTTAGCTTGAATTGACAATCCAAGCTAAATAGTAATAAACATCAAGGGTGATTCTATTAAATGGAGCAGAAAATTGTTGCGGCTTGACTTGAATACTAAACTAACTTAAAAAAAATTACATTTGGCAAAATGAGCCTAAACGAGGTAAAACCGATATTAGTTGGTGACAACATTGATGCCGTTTTTTTGGTCATGTGAATTTTTATTTAGCAATAAGCATCTCGTGATTTTCATATTCTCTTTGTTTAGGAGAATAAGTATCAAAGCATCTATTCTTATATACTTCAAAAGCCATACATATATATTCGTGGTAATCTATTTTTTCTTTCCTAAATGATGCTCACATGGTTGTCTTCTTTGTTTTCTTCTTTTTTTTTTTTAAAAAAACTCCTTGACAACAAGGACATGTTAGATATATGATTAAAATGATTCCCTGTCTATTTAATATGATTGTGATAGACCTATAGATGATTCTCTTTTGTCTATTTCTTCATCTTGTAATTCGAATATATAAGTAGTTGCTCCATTACGTGCTTGGCATCATGAAATTCGAGTTGAAATTTATGGTATATTAGAGTCAGATCATGCCCAATTTATGTTCCTCCATTTTCCTTCTTGTAAATCACACGGGAATCTTGATCCTGTACATTTAACCTCTCAATATCAATACTGGATATCATATTGAAAGTGATGATGATGGATTTAAATCTGAACCTTTTTCAAAGTTTAAAGTTTTTTGGGCTCATGCGAGATGATCTAAGCCTCTCATTTAGATAGTATTCATTGGGCCAAAGTTGAACCACAGTTCAGTTCCATAGAAATTCACAATAATCCAGCTCGGAATAGATGTCGGCTTGGCGTTGACAAGCTCGGTACAAATACCTGCTTGGGAGTTGGGAGCTCACCAATGGTTGTACCACAACACGTGGACAAGAGACAAGGGGACAGTTCTTGATAATCTTAACAAACGAATATTCACCGGTAGTGGAGATAATTCATGTATTCCGCTCAAAGTGCAGTGGGCGTAGAAAAACGTCAGAGATGGCAAACCTAGCAACAGGACAAACAAAGAGGGGACCATAGAATTAGCAAAAAAAAAAAAAAAGAATCACCATGAAACCCCAACGATAGGATGTCTAAATAGCAAACGATGTCGTTGTGTAAATACATATGAAAAGGAGACAAAATATACAACCCGGCAGTAACCTAGGCAATATTTCGAGATAAACTCCTAGCCAAATATCTTATAACAGAGATCTTCTCCCCTAAGCAATACAATTTCAAGGAACAAGAGTCTTCTTTACAGTGGATATAATTTTAGTTCTTCGGCTGAAGTGAATCACTCATATTTTGATCAAAAAAAAAAAAAATCACTCATATTAAGATTATACGAATGAGTAAATTCAATATTACACGAATGAGTTTTGTTTGATGCAATGATGAGTTTACAGCACTTGAGGCTTATCTCTCTGTCTGAATATTGTTAAAGATACATGACTCGACCATGTCTTAATAGACTTCAAGATCTCTAAATCCTTGTTCTATTCGAGTGCACTAATTATTGTATTATAATTTTTTTGACGATAATATTAGATTGACCATGAAAATAGGATAGAAAATCAATTGATATGGCGTTGACATAATAAGCAATGGTTGAATTTTAAATAAGTACAATAAGACAAAAACCACCACCATATTCGTGTCACTTCATTGGATCCTGTTTGTTAGTGCTAGCAATGCATGACGTGCGTTGCATATATTAATCTACAGTTTGGTGTTTATATCACTTCATTGAATCCTATTTCTCGATTTTCCTAAAAACTTCTTGGAAAGCTATTTTATGTACGATTTCTCTTAATTATATTTTACTCCCCTCATTACCTCTTCACAATTTGTTATAATAACATTTCAACCCCTAAAGAAATTTTGACGTTCACTATTTACTGACCACATCATAATTTGCATTGATGGCTGGAATTTCTGGAACGGGATGCTAGATGTCAATGAATTAGATTTTGATCTGAATTGGATCCAAATTTGATTAGTCGGTTACAAATGATGTTTTTGATGTTTATGTCAAATTTCAAAGTCAAATAAAAATGTACCAATTTTCAATCCAATTGTGAGCTAATGAGAACAACATATACGTGTATAAAGATACAATGAAATTGAGTTGAGAATAAGTGAAATCTATTAAAATTTAGTGAAAATTGGAAGTGAGTTCCCCTAAATGTACTTGTTTGGAGATAAGTCTTGCAAAAAAACTTATAAATGGCTAAGTCCATATTTAAAATTATATGTAATAACTTAAGTCCACATTTTTTTTATCTCAAAAATATCCTTCGTTGAAAGAAAGTTAATCTTTTCTCTCATATAACATGGCTAAGTTCATGTTACTTCTTTTGTTAAGTATGTTATTGTCCACATACTATTATTTTTGAGTATGTTACTGTTTTTGTTGATTATGTTACTACTATTATTTTCCTAAATATTAATATTCAATGTTATTATTTTTTTTTGAATATTAATTTTTTTTTTGTATTTGAATGATACTATTTTTTGCATTTGAATTTGAGAGAAATAATTATTGTTAAGTATGTTACAGTTTTTGTTAAACATGTTACTATTTTTATTGAACATGTTACTGTTGTTATTTTTTAAAAATATTAATATTGAATGTTTCAAATTTTTTTATGTTTTTTTGTGTTTAAATGTATTATTTTTTGTATCCAAATGATAACTTTTTTTTTTTTTTTTGTATTTGAATGTTACTATTTTTAATTTTTAATGTTACTATATATATATAGATAGATAAGAGAGGAAAATTTTTAATGTTAATCAAACTCTTAATCTATATATGGATATAGATAGGTATAAGAGAGAGAAGATTTTAATGTTAGTCAAATTCCTAAGATTTATGAGTTTTTAAATTTTAGTTTTATTTCACTTCTAAAGGGAAGTGATAATATGGTAAAATTAACAAAAAACGAACTTCATAACAAATAAGTTTCTTTAACGGACTTAAGTTCAAACAAGTCCATATAAAGGGACCGGTTTCCAAATTTTACTAAAATTTAACTATGACGAAGTTATACAGATTGTAATTTTTGGCTTTATATATATTTTAAATGGGTTTAAAAATAAATTATAAAAACAAAATTCGTCGAATAATTGAATGGGAGCGGGATTGGAAATCAGAATCCATATTGGTCAACAGACCTGCTTATACCGTACTGCACGCAAGACACATAACTTGAACTGCTGATATCAGGACCAGGGGCTCAAATTCTACCATTCAACAAAGATTGTGCAGGAAGAAACCTCCCTAGGCTCCAAATTAATGCATGGTTCATGTCATCACCCTCGGTGAAAGATGGAAGAAAGTTGACAAGGAAAA